CAGTTTGTAAGAATTTCACTTTAGCTCGTAGTGCTGACTGAAATATCATGTCAATTTCGCAACTGATTTAATTTGCTCACTTACTGTCGAATAATTCCATCCCGTATTGGTTTTCTTCGGTTGTTTTTTTCGGCATGTACTTTTCAAGCAAGACTTAAATTTCTCCTCTTCTTATTCATACGTCATACTAGCAAACAGAGCATTCTGCAGTTCACTATATTGTTAAACCAAAATAAAATTAATTTCTCCAGCCAATCGCAACAAATTCGCACTAAAAAAATGACCCAATCAAAATTCAACGCAATTAAATGTGGTCAGCACTAAGCGTTTTACTTCTGATTGGCACGAGATTCCTTAATAAAAAATTACTTTCGACAGTGAATTGAAAACCACTCATATTTTGAAATTTCTCTGATTCAGAATAAAAAGCAAAAAGGGATGTGATTCTGATGACGCGTGGTGTAATGCCGAGCTGTCCTGGAAAAAGCACGGTAACTTCAGAACTGGACAATCATGGTACAGCGTTTTGCTAGACCAAAGTGAAGGAAAATCGTGGATATTGAATCGGGTAAGCAAACACAAAACTCTCAAGTTTAACTTATAGGAACTGTGTCCGGGGCACCCAACGTCAATTTTCGGAAAATATCTGTTGGGAAGACGATTTGAGATCTAGAATTTTCGGAACATTTGTTGTAAAATTTCTTACTTGCCTGCCTTTCCTAGGATTTTCGAACATCCAAAAAATGGTATAATTGCCCATTTTTAACGGATTTTTACCCTAAAAAAGTCACCTAAAATTTCCGGGAGCCTTTTTTTCTGGCTGAAATTTTCGAAAAGGTAAGCTTTGATCCCTATACTTTTCGGATCAGTAGACTTTCAGCTAGGAAATCCGAACAAATGAAACATTTTTAGGAGATAAAAATCTGCCTATATCTACCGTTTAAATACTAAACTGATACGTTTAACAATGCTATGTTTAAGTGGTTTTGAACTATATTCTCGTTGGGTGCCCCTGATTAAAGGCCCTGAGACAATATGCCCCACGATCTTAAACTTTGTTTTCACACTTGATGTTGTTTTTAGAATAAAGCTGGTGTTACAGTTTTTTCTGTCATAGGTTGTGTGAAAAATTGCAAAGAGTAACATACCTTGCGAAAGGCAATTCTTTGCTCAATCATTTCCCATGGCATTACTTTTAGTACGGCTGCAGCGAGTTTTCCAAACGCAACAAGTGAAATTGAACTATGCATAGTGTAACAGTGCTCTCATTATATATTGGTTTTAATGGAAAATCAGATAACAGAAAAAAAATTAAAAGCTAAAAATTTTTAGCTTTTCACTTTTTAAGGCCGAAACATTATTTTAAATTTGTCGGCCTATTCAGAGGTTGTTCTTTTCGATTCCACCAAGTACACTTCGATACACTTATATATCTATTTCAGAAGACCTCAGAAGTTTGTTTTTTCGATTCCCCCTAGTACACTCAGAGGCGGATCTAGGGGGGGGGGGAGGGGGTGCGCACCCCCCTCCCTGAGATGACTTGCGGTTTTCTAATACAACCGGTATTCTGCAAAAAAAACAAAAAAACTATGTGGTTTATTGGTGTTAAGGTAGAGCAAGAGACGAGTGCACCCTCTCCTAAAAAAAATCCTGGATCCACCCCTGACACTTATCTATCTGCTTCGACTACATTATTATTTATTGTTCTAGTTCAACTATTGGGCACTCTAATAGCCGATGAGGATTTCAACTCAATGTTTGGTTAAATTATATTTATCAGTATATATGATATAATGTTCTCGTTTTTGTGATTGCAGGAGTAACAGAACGTTATTGCCCGCCCCATTCTGGGCTCAAGTCGTTGTTCCGAAGACAGACACTTAAATACAATACGATTCAAGAAGTCAATAAAGGAACTTAAATCGTTCTTGTGTTAAATGTTCAATTTGTGTGCCTTCCCCCCCTCCCGCCACACACCCTCCGCCATCTTGGAAAACAGTTTGCTTGCCTGACGTTATGCCCGCTTCTCGCCCCCGTTCTCTTTACGTCTATCAAACTGGGCCCAGTTGTTCGAACGCCGGTTAGCGCTGCCCTTGGGTGAAATCTTAATCCGGGTTTCTTCTTCTTGTTATCGAAAGCACTTTCTCTAATAATTTTCTCTATTCTTTTTAGAGTATTTAGTCATCAAATTGTTGGCAAAGAGAATTAAACTGAATTTACTTTTTAAGCTCTCATAATTGAGTTCAAATTTCGCACTAACCTAGGCCTGGGTTATCTTAACCCAGCTTCGAACAACCTGGCCCTGAAATTTAAGTGCAGGGCATATTTAGAATTGATAGGGAAGGAATTATAGATGACGTCATATCGCACGACAAATGACGTCATTTGTGCCAAAAATGCTCGTTGATCACGATTAACGTACATAACAGCACATAAACAGTTCATATGTAGCCACATCATTGATTAAATTACAGTGGCATACCAAAATTTACGAGGAAACGTTCCATGTTAACAGTAGCTCAAACAAAGCAAAATCTTTGAAATTTTATGGTCGGAAAGTCGAGTCTACAAGAAATAGCAACTTTGGCGATTATCCGAGAGATATCAGACTCTAATCTGGTGACCGGGAGATACGGTCCAAAATCTGGAGTCTCCCGGATTATCCGGGAGAGTTGACAGGACTGAAGTGGGAAGAGGTTGTTAAATTCATCTGAAATCCCAACGCGAGAAGTACTAAACTGCCGATCCAGTCCACTCTCCGGTTGATGCCAAACTGCCCGAAATGCACGAGGAGTTTGGAAGACTGGGTGTGCTGTCTGAGTTGCAACCTTCATAGTCAAAGTGATGAGCCTCATCATGTGGAAATAAATCCATAAATACGTTCATACACTCCCGTAGTTTTCTGGAAAACTACACCGGATTCCAGATCAAAATAAGCAAAGTCTATACCCGTCTTTAGACTTGCCTCCCACGCAGGCAGTCGTCACGTGACGAACCCCTTAGAACGTCTGCGTGGGAGGCTATTTTTAGGCCGAAACGGCGCAAAAAAACGGATCAGTTTAGGTTTCTGGAAAACTGCCCAACTACCCCTCCCGTAAGCTAACATTAACACGTACTTCTCACTTGGGGGAAAAAGGTTTTCTTAGGGGAGGGGTAGGTGGACAGTTTCTCAGAAACCTTAAGGTGACTCGACCCAGTTTTTTTTGGGAGGTACCATCCTACTTTGAAGCTCTCTGGTATCCCCACCTTTACTTTTATCGTAAGTATAACACATAGAATGGATAACATATAGATCAATCTACAATATAACATAAAATTTTTGGCGATCGGAGTAAATGTCACGTGGTTATAATGCCACGCCCCTTTAAGGTCTGAGTCGAAAATCTGCTGTTGCCGGCATTTTTTCGTGAAAATCTCTCAGCTACACATAGTGCGCATTAGTGCCTTGCGCTGAACAGAGTTTAACCAAAATCGCAAAGACCCAATTCGAGAAATTCAGCGGTTTCCAAATTTAGGTCATAATTTATGCGAAAATGATAAGCAAACTTTACACGGATTATATCTAATAAACTATGAGATTCATCCCTGTATTTTGGGCATCCTTATAACAGATGGGTCCTTGAAAGTCACCAAAACAATTTAGGGCCTTGTAAATGCGCGCGATTTCGAGCAAAGCAAACATTTAGAAATTATAGTTTTCGCTATTTGTTGACGTTTGTCAGCGTTTAAGAGTCAATCTCAAGAAAAAAGCATTTTCTTAAAAATTCGTAGTTTTTTTTCCTTCAACTTTTTTCAGGGCCACAATTGATTAACTAACTACACGGACTCTGAATTTCATGTTCATTGAAAAACTGTGACATTACCTTCTATAAGCCCAAACTTGAGTAAACATTGAAGATTTTTAGCGTTTTGGCTGAGTTTGTGCTTTGGGAGTTGTCTATTGTTTCTAGTCTGTCATTATACAGCATTCTTGTTCAGCACGCGTGCAACGACCGCGCTTGGCACAATTGATTAACCTTACCCTTGGGGCGGCACATACTTATATGCCTTATATGCAGGGTTCGCACGCACCTTGAAAGTCCTTCAATGTTAAAATAAAAATTCAAAGTCCTTGAAAAAATGGAGTTGGTGCTGAAAAGTTCTTGAATTGCAATGTTAACTTTATAGTTTAAGTAGAACTCCAAAGAGGAAGGAGCAAACACAGTAAGACCTTCGCGATAAAATTACTCATGTTGTGAAAGAACTAAAAAAGACATAGACTTAAGGCTCTTTCTTGCACTGAATCGAGTGCTTGAAAAATGGGGAAAGTGTCCTTTAAAGTCCTTGTAAAGTCTTTGAATTTTTTGTTCAAAAAAGGGTACAAACCCTGTATATAAGGGAGTACCTATCCCCCTCCCCCCGCTGGGGAGGGGAACCATTGCCCCCTGTAAGGTAATCCAAGACAGTCTTGGATTGTGGATTCCATGCTGTGGATTTTGGACTCTAGAAACTGGATTCTGAATTCCTTGCCAATGGAACGTGGATTCTGCATTCTGGATTCCAATCGCTAGAAGGAATTCTTCAAGCTGAATACTGGATTCCAAAGCCCAGCATTCCGGATTCCAGAGTTTGCAAGCAAACAACTTCCTGGACGCCAGAATCCAGATTACCTTTCATTGGTCTCTCAATCTTGTAAATGTTGTTCAATTAATTTTCTTATCTCAGATAATTTTTTTTTGTTTTGTTTAATTTTTGTTTTTGGGTATGGTAATGTATGCTAATGTAGTTAAAACAAATGAAAAATAAAAATTACCTGAGATAAAAAATTAACTACAACATATACACTGAAACCTTCTACAACTGTATGGGTAAATTTGTGTGTTCATAAGCCAAAATTAAGGTAAACAATGATCATACTATGGATTCACCCATAGAATATTAATTTTTGGGATGGCACCATTGAACTACAAATATGGACATTTAAAAAACTAAATGCACCTTTGGTCTTGTAGTGTGTTAACCTCCTTAAAATTAAACTTTATTGACCATAAAAATTTGAAGTTTACACAACTGAAAGTCTATCCTGTCATGTATGAAAAAATCCTTGATTTAAAAGAAGTGGAAATAGCTTTTTTTATTTTGATAAATATAATAATAATATGGCTAAAACAAGTTTTTAATGCCACATAAAAGCAATTCTGAAATATTATGTACCAACAAGGTTTCCTATTGTCAAACCAGTTGGGCAGGACTGTAAACAAAACGTTGGTGATATGCAAAAACTAGCAGCTCTTTCTCATTGCTTCTTTTGACATTAGTTCTGCTCATTGTAGCTAATTTCTTAAAATAACAGTCTAGCTGACTTAATTATGGTGTTACTATTGAAGTTTAATCAGCTGTATCTCAAATTCTAATGTACTGTTTGGTGGAATTGGTCCCATCTTCTTATTTCCGTACCTATGAAGAATGAAAAGAATATTATTGAACTAGTGAGTACTGTAGATCCTATATTAACGTCCCCCTCTAGGCCTATCTATTTCGAGCAGGTTTGAGGCAGGAGGGCGGGTGTTGAAAGGGATCACGGGCTTATTTGAGAGGAGGGGCTTAACAAATTCAGCCCAGGTGATGGTATCATTTTTCCTAAAAGCTAGAATGCAAAGTGAACAAGCTCTTTATGAGAAGTTGAAGGTCATTATAAGCTGAAAATCAAAAACAAATCTGAACTTCCACAGGCGTCCCAAGCTCACATTATGAGGGTAGAATGCAATTTCCACCCTACGTAATGTGAGCTTGAGATAATCAATCACTAATCTTTATTTATTCTGGAATTGAAAGATAGCAATAAGATAAATATCTCTGAGGATAAATAGCAAAAACAAATAAATAAACATAAATATTACAAAATTCTGATTTTAAATTTGATGCTGACTGCTGCACCTTTTGTAGTTAATCTTACCAAATTTTATCTTAATCAGTCAGTTGATCAATAATATTACTTTATCCATATTTTGTACTATTACTATTAATATCTATTTTTCATTTTAATTTATTATTTATTACTAAAGAGACACGAGTGTTTTACTGGAAAATATACCACTTGTAAAATTCATAAAGACTACATCCAGGACCCGAGTGGTTTATTTTCCATAATCTCACACGTGAGTTTATTGATGACGTAATTTCGGTAATTTCCCTCTATTATTTTATCAATGTCTTTTTGTCTATATAATAAAAAGAACATTACGCGGTGGCTTGAAGATATGAAGTTTAGTTTCTCGTGGCAAAAACAATATTTTACTCACTTGCTACGCTTGTTCGTAAAATATTGTTTTGCCACTCGAAAATAAAATTCATATCTTTGCGCCACCGTGTAATATCCTCTATATATTAAATTAATATTAAATAATAAATGAAAATAAAAAATAGATATTAATAGTAACAGCACAGAATATGAAAAAAAAATTGGTCAACTGAGTAACTAAAAATAACATTTGATAAGATTAACTACAAAAGGTGCAGCAGTCAGCATCAAATTTGAGATCAGAAATGGCCAATTTAAATTTACTTAACTCTGGAATAGCTCTAATATTGTTAGGAAGGGAATACCATAGCTTACAACCATGATAAGAGAGAGAATGAAGCCCATATGTGGTGGTGTTAACTCTTGGCGCAGTTAGGATATCTATGCCCCGCAGATCCCTATTACAATTTCGAAAAGTGAATAGCCTAGATATGTATTCAGGGCTTAAACTTAAAAGATGCCTTTGAAACCTCCAACATGTAAATTAACCACTCCTGATCAGTCCACATGACGTGTGAGAGTTGTGATTAATTACCATTTATTATTTTTTGTTAGTGAAGTTTAAAAAAGGAGGAGGAGGGCTAATGAAAATTCTTCCCCTAAAAAAGGGATGATTGTTAGGGGGCAAAAAAATGAAAAACCAAAAAAATCTCTAGAGCTTCCAACAAAACCCCACAAATTCTTTTCCCTTATTCTATGACTGGAATGCATTTAATGTTCAAACAAACACAAAACAAGTTTTATCAGGTAGAACTATGCCTGATGTTATGAGAATAAACACGTCCTTTCTATTTTAACCCCACCCTTAGACCCCTGAAATTAAATATACGCACCAAGTATAATACCATTAATTTACAGTACTCATGCAAGCTACATGTGCACAGTTACTACTAACAGTGGTACCTCGATATAACGAAGGGCCAAGAGACTGGCAAAATTTGTTCACTATAACGAGGTTTCTTTATACTGAGGTTATTTTTCATATATATTACTATTACTGGGGTAAAGAAAATCATTTGTTATACCCAGGACTTTGTTATACAGAGGTTCGTTACATCAAAGTTTCACCGTACTGATAACTTACCCTTGTGAGGGGGGCACTGTAAGTCGTCTTTTGCCTCCAACCTGCATTCCTGTAAACAAGGTTGAACAAAGTGTGAAAAAAATCTATGCATGAACTTATAGTATAGTTTGGCAGTTTCTACATGTAGCTGTGGCTTACAAAGGTGTGCACACCAACCCCACCAGGGTTGTAGATAGCATGAAGGAGGATGAAGGGGAACCTAATATTATCTTATCATCTTATGACAATTCCTTGAATAAGTGCCAAATCCCATGGCAGAGATTCCAACCCTCCCAATTTGCTCAGGAGTCTCCTGATTTAATGTGTTACCTCCCGCTCTCCCAATTTTTGCAGATTCTCCTGACTTATCATGAAATTCTGAACAGGAAAAAATTGCTTATCTTGAGTATTTTTGTGCAATCTGAGCATAAAATGTTTCATATTACACTTTCCTATCCTATAATGTCTCACTCAGTCTCTCCATTGAAAAACATTGCAGTGTCAAGTAGAAAATGCAGGAAATACTGCTTGAGAGAAATTAAATTTGCCAAATTTCCTGGTGGGGTATAACCCCAGACCTTAGGCGCTAAAAAGTACTCCCTATTTTCCTTAAAAAGGGGTTGGAATCTCTGTCATAGCTAAATTAGCAAAACTACCTGTAAGACCTCTCCCTCACATTGACCTAGATCTCAGACCTCGGCCTTGACGTATTGACCTCGCTATCGCTTGGTCAATACAACAATTAAGGCCTTGATCTAAGATTTCCCTGTAATGACCTCACTCTCAGTTAATAAGTAGTATTTAAAGCATGGAACAAACTCAAATCAGCTACAAAAACAGCTTTCCATTAAATTAATGATTTCCAACACCAATATAATTCTAAAATAGAAACTCACCAGCTACACCTAGATCCCAGCCTCTAATAACCTCCCCTGCTCCAAGTCTGAATGAAAATGGACGTCCGCTTAAACAAGAATCAAATTGTTTCTTGTTCTTGGCTAAATTACCCTTATAGTACACATGAACCTGTAGTAAAAGTCAAGAATAGGCATTATAATGTACAAGGTTTCCAGAATGATTATGAAAACTAAAGTGTGCACCCTCCTTAAAAACCTCTCTATCTCCCATGGCCCCTTGCAACCCCGTCCCCCTACCCCACCCTTTTTTTCAAATGGATCACGCTTGTCAGGACAGTCACTGGTCAAGGATCGCGGAATAAAAGTAACTGTCCATTAAACCAAGGACATGCTTACACGGGGCATTTATAGTAAGAAAGTAAATGGAAATGCAGGTAAAACCATTATGATATTTAACTGTTGCAAATCAATGGGGATTTCAAGTAATATATCAAACATGAGACGCAGTGTTTCATCACCAGATGAAACACCGAGAAGAGAGTTGAAAATACGACGCGTAGCGGAGTATTTTTGACGAACTTCGAGGTGTTTCATCTGGTGATGAAACACTGAAAACAAAATCATTTTTGAAGGAGAAATTAAGGATGCAAAAATGAGCAGTTTTTCATCCGATATCCAAACACTCATTAAACATTAATTTCCTTTGAATTTTCTTTATGAATTATTAATGAGTTTGAGAAGTGAGTTTTAAACTTACTTGAAAAGTTAGAGATGAATAAAAAGTTATAAACAACATTAATATCAGGAATTTTCAATGGAGATACACTAAGGTCGCATTATAAAAAATTAATAACCTTGCTGCATTGAGCAATATTAACCAGCCATCCACCCATAGAGATTTGTCGAAAAAGATGCCATTTGAAGTTAGTAAAGCTGTTTTCTTGCCATTACCCAACCGAACATTGTTTTCTAGTCAAGTAATTTTGAACCAACACTTCTTTTCCAGTGAAAAATATTTGTTTTATGGTTATCGTTCCTGTAAAGTTGAGCACTCTGGGAAATTGTTCTTCCAAGTGAAATCAGAATTTGTTTTCTAAGTTTAGGTATGTACAGATGGTGAACTTGTAAGGTTTGGATATTTTAAAGTGACATTGCAAGCAAAGTACAGATGGACATTGGCTGTGTTTGAAAACACATCCAGCTTATCCTTTGGGCAAGCAGCTTTCACATTTTGCTTGCCTTGGACTACTTCTTGCTCATTTTAGTTAATAACTTTGTTAGAGGATGAATTGCCTTGACCTTCACCCATTGACCTTTTACCCGGCAAGAAAATTTACTCTTCCCAGACTATCAGACGGGACTTTTCTCGAGCCCTGATTGGGACACAGCTTTCATCCTAACTCTCAGTTATGCAGGAAATTATGTGATTTATAGTTGCAAACATCACAGTATGACTAAAAAATAATATCTATTTCCCCTACATAAATTATTAAAGCATGGAAGTTAATTACATTAAAGAATTTTGTCACAGAAATCGGTACGAGAGATGCAGTGTGTGCACAACACAGACAGATATGGGTGATTGTCGTGCTAATGAGTTACACAAATTCAAAGAAGTTAAGCTTACTGTTTGTCCTTTCTTGGCTGTTTGTCCTTGCCCTCTTTTAAGATCTTCCACAACAGTTCCACCTGGTAGTTTTCTTTTCGTTGTCTGTCATTTTCAACAAATAATTATTGCTAAGCTTATTTCATGTTCACAAGTCAGAAAACTTGCACACAAACATAACTGTACTTAGTACATGAATATATTTAAAGAACCCCCCACACCTTTAAGTAAGTCTCTCAATAAGCACCGCACATGAGAGAAAAAAACATAATAAACACCTCTTCTGAAGATGTGCCACATTCGCCCAGAAACAATACAGTTTATATTGATTTTTGGTATTGGTAATGCCGAAATGCAAACATTAATGTTATTTTTTTATGTTATGGAAAGGAAAATACTGACACTTTAAGGTAACTGTTACAGTTACTTAGTGGACAGCACTATCTAAAGTTTCAGCAAACGGGCCTAGGACCCATTTCTCAAAAGTCCTGCTAACTTTTAGGGCCCAGAAACCTGTTTTATGTTTGCAGTATTTGCATTCAAGATAAAAGTTTCAATAAAAGTGAAAATGATGTAATAACATTATCAGTTAACAAAGCGAAATTGAATGATTTGTTAGCTAGGAACTGCACCACTATTCAATGGGTTGTGATTTTAAAATTTGCCTACGGGCCAAAAAGTTACCAGGCCTTTCAAGAAATAGACCCCAAAGTATATCAGCAATTAAGCTAAATTATTATTTTATACATGTAAACCATTGTACCTCAGTGGCTTGTGATTGATTGCTGTTTTTTGTGGGGCTACCTTGCTTGTTTCCAAGCTGTTTATCACTGGAATTTGTAAGAGAGTCAATTGGCTTTACTGGACTGGAAGCACTGTTCTGACTTTGCTTATTACTATCCAAACTATTTACATTCTCTGCCTTTTCTTTTCCACGTAATTTTTTCTTGGCTTTCTTTGTCAGTTTTTGAGGTTGTGTTTCTCCATTTTCAACTGTTTCATTTTCTCTTCTCTTCAATTTCCTCTTCTGTTGCTTTGTAACTTTCATTTTAACAGCTTTTGAATCTGAATTTACTTTCTTGTCTGGACTCCATTCTTTGTCATCATCATCCTCACCATCATCATCATCATTATCATTATTGTCATCATCAAAACTGCTTATTAGTAGTTTGTGATCACTTTCAGTTTCTTCTTCGTTCATACTCTCATCCTGTCTTTCTGAATGGTCTTTCTTTGAGTTCTTTTTCTTTTTGTCTTTTTTATTTCTTTTTTTCCGTTTTGGGTTGTCTTTTGACGGATCCCAGTCATCATCACCACTCTCCTCATCTTCTTCCTCATTGTCCTCATTATCATTTTCAATGTCGCCACTTTGAAGTAACTGGCTAAGAGTGATTTCATCACTGGAAGACTCATCTTCATCTTCAGAATCACTACCTGCTGAAGCTGTTTCTGATTCTTCACTCTCACCAGATAACTCTTCTTCATCTTCTTCAAATTCCAGAGCATTTGGCTCATCCATCAAATAGCCTAGCCAGAAAGAAATGTCACTGAATTAATGAGACTTAGAAGGTAGGGATTCTGGGATCTTATCAGAAATATGCAAAGAGCAGTGTGATGACAATGTGGGTGTGGGAGTTACCCTGTCCAGAAAGGTCTTGCAAAAAGACTAAAAACTAAGGGATCCAAAACTTGGGGAAAGATTTTTGTTTCCAAGTTTTGGGTCTAGGGGTTTTAAGCAACCCTGCTATCAAGACACCTAAGATTTTAATATAACCTCAGATTAAAATTAGGCATTCAGATCACCTATTTTAATATACTAATTTTTGTTTACTTGTGTCAGCAACAGCCTGAACAGCAGCATCAAGCCATCCTCTTAATTTGCAAAATGTATTAAAATAAAGTAGCATGAACACTGATGGCTAAGTTGCACATTTTGATCACAAAATTTTTTCAAAACTGGGGGTGAAGCTTATCTGCTAGAACAACTTGAGAGAAAACCGTGTATTTCCCAGAATAATGATCACCCCCAAAACAAAACCAAATTAACCGATCAACCTCAAGCAAGAAAATTAATGCTCATGTGATAAATGCCTACTGCTGAGGACCTTCATGGCAATTCGTTAAATGAAAATAATAGTATTAAGGAGGGCCAAGTGTTCTGGTTCTATATACTAAAGAAATTTCGTTTCAGTGACTATAGAAATATCAAAGCAAACTACACCATTTAAAATCACTTCTTGATGACAAAGTCCTACCATCAGAAAGGTCATTATTGTGTAGGGAGATACTTGGAAAGTCTAGGATAGCAGTGTCCACCTTATTACTGCTTGAAGAAACATTTTTTTATTCCCCTTGATCATTTGGAGGTTTTTTAGCCTTTCACAAAGAGTTTTGAAAAAAAAGTCGTGCATATACAGTATATAAAATTAATATTTCCTCAAAAACTGAATCATAAAATTGTTGAAAGTTGGTAATTGGATGGCCACTGATGGTTGCTGCTGGAGCATAACTTTACAATATACTTGTATTCCTATTAACAGCTGACATAATATTAAGTCACGAGCAACTTGGCTCTTGATGTAAGGGGAGAATGTTTTCCAAATAATTTACATATATACGGCTATTTCAAGAAAGGTTGTCTGAAAAAGTACACAGGACAATCCGGAAAGGTATTGGGGCGGTTTTGAGTTCACTGTTCTTCAAAGAAATTTGCAAGAATGGTACGAGAGGCCATGGACGTATGTTTGCGATTGCTAAAGGAAAGCAACAAAAGTAAGTTCAACAGCTACAGAGTCAGGAACAGTGTATTGATCATGTCCCACATTACGTACCTTTCGGGATTGTTGCATGCACACTTTATCCGACAACCCTTCTCGAAATAGCTGTATATATTTCTAAACTCAGGCTGTGGTTCATATCCTGGTGTTTACAGTAATCTTATAAACCTGTTAAATGAACATCCCCGGGTCCTTCCATGAAGAAAGTTATCTCCTCTCCTTCAGTGAAACAATATTCTAACGGCTGCTGTGGAATTTTTCCAGGTTGCAGTGTACACAGCGCAAATTGAGCTTTGTCAACTTCAACCATCACAGTAACTGGCAAAGATGAACAGTTTTGAAAGCCTAGAGCAGCCATTGACAAATGGAATGATTTCTCCACTGTTTGAGTGTATCGCTTTCCAGAATCAAGAGTCACCCCTAAAACACAAATGTGGTCAAAGTCAGAAAATACTTCAAAAGGATTCATTACTTAGTTTTACAAAATAATGACAAAAAATGATAACACTACCAAAGAGGTTTAATGGTGCACTTCTAAAGATACTATAAAAATACTATCATCCTCACTCAGCGACCCATCTACTTGCGGGTCCAGCAGCGTCTTTGATGCATAGAATGTCTGAAAAGATGCATAAGTCATTTGTGTGAAGGAGTTTTTCACTCCAGGGGGTGGGGCAATGGTAGCTTTTTGTAGAGAAATATTGTTCTTGGTTGCTGGGGATTTGTAAACGCCATTGTGTAAATAACTTGGGTAACAGCTCCCCTCCCGACCTGGATGGCCTGACACTCGAAATTGTTTGATGAAAAAAGTGAATTTCGAGGAATCTATGTTGAATGACTTCCAGGGATTCACCTAAAATACGGAAAGCATGGACTCCCACGTGCATGCAACGTACATTGTAAACAATCCTATCAAATTAAAAAAAGTTACGTCTTAAAATGCCTATACAATTTATACCTAGTTTTCAAATTTTCACTGTCATGAGATGTACAACATGTAAGCTTGCGTAAGCTTTTTACCGAATTCTGCTAGCAGCGTGTTTCCAGTACACAGACAATTATCGAGCAAGTTACTGATACGTGCGCACGTCCGACCGTCTAAAACAGTCGAATGTACTCCTTTGATTTGCTGCAGATTGTTATTTTGCTACTTTGCTATAATACGTATATACGTATATACTAACCCCAAAACATCGTGATCAAAGTAGTTTTCCGAAAAAAGAGATCAAAATCGTTAGTTTTGATGACTCGATAATCTTACTTGGACGCCATTTTGAATTACGCCGGGCCTGCGCAGTGGAACTGCCATAGCGAAAGGGTTTCTGGGTACATGTCCTCTTTCAGCCTTCCTCTTCGAAGGTGAGATAGCGTTCAATGTGCTGTGAATATCAACAATTATCTATCCCATCCTCTCTTATAACTTCTCCAAGAAATTAATTATGTAAAGAATAACCATTACTCCTTCTCTTTGGAGTGTTAAATTTGTACTCAAGCCAGGGTTATTGCAAGGAATTTAATGTTTAGAAAACCGATCTTTGATTCCACTTCCCAACTAATGTATTGCTTTTGTAATTTCTTCGTTTTGCATTTGTGGACGCTTTTTAAGAGCAACCACGCTTTATTTCTTAGTGATTTCATTGCCTTGAGGCATACAGTTTTGAATCGTGCAAATGCTGTGTTAATGTTTGTGTCTATCACTTGAAGGGATGTTGTAGATGTTCGTATTAAAAAACAAACGTTCACGTTTTCTAGGTAATATAACGCAAAATGACTCGGTATTCAACCGATCCCGAGAATCCAACGAAGTCGTGCAAAGCACGAGGCTCAAACCTCCGCGTGCACTTCAAGAACACGCACGAAACAGCTGTGGCCATTAAAGGCATGCATATCCGCAAGGCCAACAAGTACCTGAAGGATGTAGTTGCTAAAAAACAGATCATACCTTTCCTCAGATTCAATGGTGGTGTTGGTCGTAAAGCTCAGGTATGCTCCATCTGTATGTTTATTCAAGAAACCATTAATAAAAAGGGAAAGACCTATTTTTTTAACCTCCTTTGGCCATCCTTTTTCTTTTCTTGTTTAACATGGATTGGGTCAGTCGGTCGGTCGGTCAGATGGAAAAAAAAAAAATCTTGGCAAGAAAGCTGGGATTAGAGGGCCAGGGGCCCGTTTCTTGAAAGTCCCGGTAACTTTACGGGCCCGCAATCAAATATTCAAATCGAAATATAAAGAATAAGAGCGCGGGTCCTGGCTAGCAGACTACTCCATTTTGTTTCACTAACTGATAGTTTTATCATGCTAGATACAAAACTATTGAAACCTCGATCCTTAATGTAAACGGAGACAGCTTACCGGGCCCGTTAATTATCGGGACTTTCGAGAAACGGGCCCCTGGTACCCCAACATAGTAGCGAGCCTGGAAATAATAAACATGGTCACAAAATCAATATGGCGGAAATTGCGATGGTCATTGTCATAGATGGAGAAAGATGGAAGAGAAAAAAAAGGGGTGGCCTTTGGGTTCAGCTATTCTATAAAGGATCGATATGGCTGTCAGCTGATAAAAACAGCTAATGTGTTGTGAATAGCTTCCAAGATCTTAACAAAAACAGACATATGAGAACTGTCACTATCCCTTTTAATGCTCACTGATCAAAAACCAATTGCACAAGATCCTTTTCTTCTTACACCTAGGCTATTTTTATCTAAAATTACAGAGTAAACTGAGAAGCTATCTGTTAACAGATCTGCTTAGAGTTCATTTAGTAACGCAAGCGTCACACATTCACTTTAGTTCTCAACAGATGTTTCACAGGGGCGTAGTTACCTGTACGCATGGTACGCGCTTGTGATCTGAAAAAGTTGAGGCAAGAGAACATAAAGGTCCTTTATGTTCTCTTGGTCGTGGGTAAATATAAAATAAAAAGATTATAACAAAAATAAGCAAGAGAAGATAATTATTTCATAAAGCTCAGCTTTCCCTTTTTGTTAGGTCATGTGCATTAGTTTTTAAAACTTACCAAATAACCTGGAACAATTTTACAGCAATTCAGAAGAGTTCAAGTTGTTCTAATGCAAATTTGTTTGTTTACGTTGCTGTCATAGGCCCTTTTATCGATAGAGTTTTACAAATGTATATTAAAGGGATGATCCACTCACTACTTACTGTACATTTACAGGCTGCTTTATGCCACAGTCATAATAGCCAGATTTTGTTGGACAATAGTGTCAGAGCAAAGAGATTAGAGACCTTTAGTTTTTAAGACGAGTACAACAACGAGTTCAAGATTTGACTTGGAGCTTTTATGTGTATTCTCAAAAAATAGACTCCCCAGAACGCTTCGTTTTACAATTTTTCACGAGAAAAGTTAGCTATGTTACCTTTAGTGAAGGAGTGAAGGAGGTTACATCCTCTCCTGATTGCAAAATGATAAAACTTCCAAAACATTTGATAACTTGTTTCCGCCACCTCAACATTCTCACTAAAACTCATAGTAGAGTGATGACAGCTACCACATTTTCCCACCAAAATGACACTGGTTCATGTGCAAGCACTACTAGGACTAAGAAAATCTTGTACCTGTTGTTGTACTCATCTTAGAATCTAGAGGTCCCTATTTTTCAACAACCACGTCAACCAGAAGTGGACATCTTACCTTCTTGGGCAATGCTGTCGTTCAAATTCTCAGGCAAATTATCTCTGTAAGAGTAAAGACACTAAGCAAGATAAAATTGGTATCGTCAAGGCAAAATAAAGGGGAAAAGGCCCCTCTTCTGGTTGACATGGGTGGCTCTAAAACATCTTTGCTCTTTAAGTTCCCTATTATAAGAGTGCCAACTTCTCGGCAGCGCTACTTACAAAAATTAGGAATGAAACTGAAAAAAAGAAAGGAGTTTACAAGATGGAGTATTCCCAATACAATCCCTACCTACCTACTTTTTTATGTACCTCCTTACTCACTTATTCACATCCTTACTTCCAGTTGTAAATACTTCCTTCCTTACTTACCTATCTGCCTGCCTGCCTTCCTGCCTGCCTACCCATCCGCTCTATTACCATTTTTCTGTACCTATTAATGGTTACCACTAGAATAGAAAGGAATTTATTCAGTACAAGACTATGCTGTAGTAGTGCCTGGTTACCCCTGGCACCTAACTTTTGTTCCCTGGATGGCAAGTAGAAAATTTAAGTTTTTTCATAGCAGTCATAGGCTGGGGACCCTTGATTTCACTGGGTCAAAGCACTGGGCTTCCTCAAGTTTTGTTAGAGCTCAGCCTTGTGGTGTTTGTTTGACGTAACAAAAACCCTGCTGATCGAGAAACCATTAATTACTTTTAGGCCAAGAATCATAAAGCCCCAGGATCCCAGGGACGATGGCCAAAGAAGAGTGCTGAGATTCTTCTTCAGCTTCTCAAGAATGCTGAGAGCAATGCCGAGTTCAAGGTGAGTGTACAATGTAGGTTTCAGGTCAATACAGTGGAACCCTGCCTTCGGGCCACCTTGGTAATACTGTCACCTTGTTATTACAGCTACTTTTGTTTGGCCACCTGGGAAAATGGCCATACATTTTCAGGGTGTTCATTAGGCATCAGAGATTGGAGAATTCTCCATTTACTGTGCAGAATTCTCTGACTAACGTTTGGTAGCTTATGACTATTTTTTATTCCGACATAGAGCCTCTTTCATGATATTCTCCTGTAACGTTACACCTTTCTCCTGCTACTAGGAATCTTAATGAAAACCCTGCATTTTTTATAAAAAAAACCCTTGTTAATACGGTCTCCCATTAAGATGGCCAAATTTTTTCGGCCCATTGGTGACCGTATTAAGGGGGTTCCACTGTATATATTTTGCACTGAAATGAAGTTTTGTACTTGGCATACTCATGCACTCTTACTTTCATTGACCTTTACTTGTGGACAAGCTATTCATTTAGTTTGTAAGTTTTCTTTCCGTGCATCGTTAAGTCTGTTTTTTTGTACCATCCACTGGAACCATAAAAATGTTCTTTTCTTGACATGTGCATTCTATTTTTCTCCAGGGATTAGATGTGGACTCGCTGGTGGTCGAGCACATTCAAGTTAATGCAGCTCCCAAGATGAGAAGGAGAACCTACAGAGCACATGGACGTATAAATCGTAAGTCACTGTTTATTTTTATTGTAAATGCTTTGAAGCCAGGAGTCATGTCATAGGAAGTCAAGTACAATTTTCTTGAGGAGCGTACATCATTGTACAGTAAGTCCTGAATAAGGCTGTTAGTGACTGCTACTGATGTTTTGACAACCAGTGCAGAAGCCAAATGAAAGGCTCTGCTAGCAAGGTGATTTGCCACATTTGGATTGTTATTTCTTCATGCCCATCACTATGTAAGTTACCTATCCCCACATAGTCAGTGATGACTGTTGAGGCACCACAGATGACTTGGTTAGAGTAGCCTGCATAACTGGCGGGATTACTGTAGTGTGGGAGTGTTGTATTGTTTTTGCAGTGGAGCCACGAGAAGAGTGGGTACAAGCCAATTTGAAATCTGGGTAGCATTCAAAACTCATAAGAAATGTGGCAGGTGGTATTTTCCCTTGTGGTTCCGCCTCTCCTTTGGCATAGTAGCTCGGCTTCCAGAACGTACCCCGGCCACAAGAATGTGCCAGTTATGCAGGGTATAGGTACAGCAGTGGGGTAATTTTATATGCTGTTTTCCTTGTTGATTGCAGCGTACATGAGTTCGCCATGTCACATAGAGATGATCTTGGCAGAACGCGAGCAAGTGGTGCCACGAGGAGAAGATGAAGTTGAAGTTAAAAAAGTTTCCAAGAAGAAGATGGCGCGAGAAAAGATGAAGTCCAGGGAATAGATTCCTGCTTTGAATGCTGTAAAATAAAATTTCTCAACTTGGAAAACGATTGTTTATTGTGTTTAATAATATACTATTCCATCCTTGATCCACTGTCCACAGCGCCACACTGATATAAAATGATTCGCACGATCACGCAATACAAGCAACTCCTTCTTTAACCGTGGCAGGATTAGCTCAGTCGGTAGAGCGTTTGACTGCAGAGCGGGAGGTCTCGGGTTCAATTCCCGGGGCCGGACATTACTCAGGGTCTTAAAATGACTGAGAAATGAAGGTACTTCCTTTGCACTGCAAGCGGCGAGACCTTCGCGTGGCTCGGATGACCACGTAAAATGGCGGTCCCGTCTCCATTAGGAGACGTAAAAATAGTGTCCCCAATTAGCACTTTCGTGCTAAATACTTTGACACTCAAATAAAGCGCTTTTTTTTTTTTTCTCAACTCTGGTTCTCGCTATTTGTACTCGCACAATACTAAGGCGTTAGTTTTCTTATAACACTTTTTAAAGGTCATGGCAAATTAACTTTGTCAATTTAGTTGGCAAAACAATATTTTTGTGTTTTATTCCCCAGGCATTCTAACCGATGATCAGGCCTTGTTTTAGTGATCTATTTTGGGAGATATAGGGAGGGCATGATCGCAGTCTACAGGCGTTGCAGCACAGTTGCCTGTGAAACTAGTTTTTCAGCCTAATAAGGGATTCAAGACCCACGGTGGATGTAGACTGCAAAACAGTCGTATTTTTGCGTATTCAAGTACGCGCGAGCTGTCCAAGAAAAGGTCTGGAGCGAAGCTGAAAATAGAGAG